TTTTCTGGTACTGGTCGCCGTTTGCCTGAACCACAAATTAGGCCTCGTTTTCCCTGATGATGTTTTAATTTCACTTATTTCTTCTAAAAAAAAAACTAAAGTAAGAACTGCTGAAGTTACAGGTTTCATTCACGTGTGTCTGATCGTGAAGCAGCTGAAATGAAAAAAGTCCAAAATGTTTTAAATTCTAACTGGTTTAATATACGGTAGTCATTTATTTAAAGTAACGTTTGAGGATATTTAATTTTTTTATCTTAAGGAATATCAGACAGGAATAGCAAAAATAAGAAATTTGTGTTTACAATAAGTTCATTTTGAATTACAGGTAAATAAATACATTTGGACTTGACTGTTGACTAAATCATTATTTATTTCTGAAACTTGACGGCTCTGGGGCTGCCAGCGTCTCCCTGACTGTCCTGCAGCTTTTTAAGATTTAAATTTATGTTTTGCTCGTTTTATTTGAAATAATCGAGTTATGTGACGCTATGATTCTGAGACCATGGATGCAGTTTTTTTAATTTTATATTTAAAAAAAAAAAACAGCTGATAAAAAGAGTTTTGTTGCAGGTTTTCGCCTGTGCACCATTAAATTCAATGACAGTGAAGGAGGAATGCATATCACCCGCTGCTTTGCATGCTGAAGCTGTAAACAAAGACCTTATCGTAATCTGCTCAGAGTACGTGTTGGGGAGGACTCTCAGCTACTACAAGTTTTAGCTCTGTAAAAATGAACAAGCTAAAGCCTTTTTTGTATTAGCTAAGGTTAATTAGTTGTAGCGTCCATGAGATCGGCTGATTTACTGCACGCACATTTGCACCACTTTTTCCAACATATGTTTATTTTATATATATTTACAAACTGACACTTTCTTAATATTACAGATAATTTATAATAAGTTTTGGCTACAACATTTAGCCATTTCTTTAACATTTTTCTCTTATTCACACTCGTTATTTACTTGTTTAGTCCGTCAAACTTCAGGAAACTGTTCCACGTGTCCAGTTAAGACATGGCGGACGTGTCCTCGGGTTTAAAAACGAACTGGAACCCGTCCACTTCACCGAGCCGACAGGTCCGTCCTCTGATGTGACGTGATCCAGCAGCTTCCAGACAGAACAGGGAATCAGTCTGATGAGCGCTGCGGGAGGACCAAACCCAACAGCCCGTCGGTGTCAGACGAGTGACCGGCGCCGCTGCCTGGCTGACAGAACTTTAATTTGTGAGATCATTCTTCTGGTTAACCCCCCAACTAAGATCTGCTGTTGAGAACGTTGCATCAAACGCATCATCTAAATTAAACTAATCACAGCCTTTTTCCACCACCAGAACCAAAACGTTCGGAGCTCAAAATGTTCATGTTCGTTCCAGATGATTTTTGTGTCGATGCAAATATCAACAGCTACTAGAGAAATGTTGTTTCTTGTGAAAATACAGAGTGGACGCTTATTGCTGAATGAGTTTTGCTGAAAGCTGCTGAAGAAGCTGAAACCAAGCTGGACAAGCTTCTTTAAACTGTTAATGTAAGTTGAATTTAAACAGCCGATGGTGCTGAAAGCAGCAGAAAAACAGCAGAAATGAGTAGAAAAACCGGAACAGAATACAGAATAAGTTGAAATAGGCAGAGAGGCTGAATAGATTACAAAAAAAAAATTAACTGTAAAGTGGCTGAAGCAACCAAAAATAAGCTGAAATTAGCAGAAAGAGGCTGAAAGGAGCACTGGACGTTGAAATTATTTAAAAAAGCACAAACGGTGGAAACTGGCAAGAAAAACTGTACAAATTTGTAGAAAACCCCCCAAAGGAAGCTGAAAGAAGCTGAACCTGAACAACAGCTGAAATGAGCAGAAGGCGGTTGTAAACAGGGCTTGCAGGATGTCTCCATTCATTTTCAATGAGAAAAACATGGCCGAAAAAGCTAAACAAAGAATGCCGATACAAACAGTCACAGCAGGAATGTCCTGGACGAGCCGAACGTTTTCAGGTACGAATCGTTGAACTAGAACAAAAATTGTGGAACGAGTTACGTAGGAAGAACGTTATGTCGGTAGTGAGAACGCTTTAAGGACATTCAAACTGTTCAGACAACACATAAACAGTTTATTGGTGCTAAACCAACGTTTTCCATCTGTTCCTTGTTCTGGACCCAGTACTAATGCTTATGTTCTGAAAGAGCGCTGACCTTTGAGAAACGAGGGGGTCTTTGAATAATCATCATTAAAAGCCTCCACGCCCGTTAAATCCTCTGGTCCCAGCAGACGACCCGACTCAGCACCAGTAATCCTCCCGCTCCTCACTTGGTAAAAAGGTCAACGACTCACCTGTCAATGAACTATAAACTAATATTTATAAACCTGATGCTGTATGTTCATACGTCGACGACTCGTTGTTCTTTTCGTCTCGTTCTGGAGGTCTCGAAGTCAAACAACAACCGAAGGATCAGCGTCGATCGACGTTCACGATCGTCTTCCTGTTTTTATTTCCTGCACGTTTTTGTTGTTGAACTGCGTCTCTGGCTACGTTGTGCTACTTTAGCCATGTGTTTATCAAACGTTCGGCTAATTCAGAAGGCGGCTGCTGTGACTTTTGGCATTTCTAACTTTTATAGTTTTTAAAAGGTTTCACTGTTTTGACAAACAGTTTTGCTGTTGAATGTTTTGAGAAGCCGATTCCTTCAAACTCATTGTTCTCATTAAAATCTGCATCAGCTACAAGCTATGTTTTAGTCTTTTACTGTTTTAGTCTTTTAGCTACCTTTCTGCTACTTTTAGTTGTTTAGTTGTTGACTTTTATTACTTTTAGATTTGAGCTCCAGTTTTGATTCATTTAGATTATAGCTACTGGTCTAATACTTATAACTTTTAGCTCATCTTTTTCTTCTTTTAGCGTTTAGCTACTGTTGTGCTATTTTTAGCTTTTGACTAGTCTTTTGCTCCTTGTTAGCCTTGTGATTTTTTATTTATTTTTTGCTTTTAGATAGATATTTGCTACATTTAGCTTTTAGCTGGTCTTTTGATTTTTGCTACTTTTAGCTTTTAGCTGGTCTTTTGATTTAAGTATTAAACTATACTTGCTTTTTTTAGCCAGACTTTTTTATTTTTTAGCTTTTGGCTAGACTTTTGCAGCTTTTAGCTATAGTTCTACTTAATTATTTCATAGCTAATTATTTGCTATTTTTAGTTTTTAATTCCTGGTCTGCTATTTCTAGCCTTTAGCTACTTTTATCCTTTAGCTACTGTTCTACTACTTTTAAGTTTTTAGTGTTAAGCTAAACTTTAGCTTTTTTTAGCTAGCTTGCTTTTTTTGCCTTTAGCTAGACTTTTACGACTTTTAGCTTTTAGCTATTCCTTTGATTTTTAGCATTAAGCTATACTTTTGCGTTTTAAGCTAGCCTTTTTTTTTTGCTTTTAGCTAGACTTTTGCTACTTTAAAATTTTAGCTCCAATTTTGATTCATTTTGATTGTAGCTACTGGTCTGCTTCAGTGGTTAATTTGAGCCGGAACAAGATCCGGGAACTCTCTCATTCTGACCCGTTCTGTTCCGGCAACTCTTTGTTCAGATCCGGCAGCTCCGCCCCTAAAAGTTCAAAGTCATCGTGCATTTTTATTTTGATTATTTATTAAAAATACAACGAGAGGAGACGTTGCCTTTAGCCCGGCGGACCCAGTCTGTGGATGTTCCAGCTGCAGCACATGTGGCGCACAGTTACACGCTCCTTTGAGGAGCAGGAGAGGAGCCTCTGGGTGGGGGGGTGAGGACGGAGGACAGATGGTCACATTACGCACAGAGACTCTGCGCAGAGTCCTTCTCTTCTCCTCCTCTTCTCCTCCTCTTCGCCTCCTCTTCTCCTCCTCTTCGCCTCCTCTTCTCCTCCTCTCCAAATATTGTCCTCACTCAGCGGCTGCGCACTGAAAAACACGCCCTCTCCCCCGCTCAGACCCCGAAACAGAAACGATCATTTATTCAACAGAATAAATAAATTCCCTGTGGACAGTGCACGTTACGCACAGAAACGTCTCCAGACAGCTCTAGCGCGCGCGCAGCATCAGCAGATGTCTGAACGGCTACATTTCAGACATAATATAAAAAAGCTTACTGTAAAAATACATTAAAAATACAAAGAGAGAAATGTTTGATGTGTTATTCACATTATACGTCACGTTTCAAAACAACGGCGCTGATTTGTCAAAATGGCATCAGTAATCAAAATGTCAAAAAGACAGGATGGATGGATGGATGGACAGACGGACGGACGGATGGATGGATGGGTGGACGGATGGTCTGACAACCGAGAATTGAACCTTCAGGTTCTTCAAACGGTGAAGTGGGGGGGGGGGGGGGGGCACCTGACAGAATCGGTGCTGATGCACACGACCTGCTGTTCTTCTCCAAAACACTAATTTTATTAAGCGTCTACAAATGTAGGTAAACGTTGATGTATAACAACCTGTTAAAATACACCAGAATGCAGGAAGTGGCATCTCTGTTATTCAAAATGTTCTGCCCCGCCTTTTAGCTAGGTATTTGCTGCTTTTAGCTTTTAGCTAGTCTTTTGATTTTTAGCGTTAAGTTATACTTTTGCTTTTTTAGCTAGCTTTTTATTTTTAGCTTTTAGCTAGGTCGTCGTTGCTTTTATTTTCTAACTAAGCTTTTGCAACTTTTAACTACTGCTCTACTAGTTTTAGTTTTCAGATAGTTTTTTGCTACTTTTAGTTTTTAGTTACTGGTCTGCTACTTCTACTCTTCAGCTACATTTACTCGTTTGTTACTACTACTACTTAAAGTTTTTAGCTACCCGTTTTACTACTTGTAGCCTTTAGCTAGCCTTTTGTTACTAACAAATCTTTTCCTGTTATTATCTAGTTTTGCTACTTTTAGCTGATCTTGTGCACCTTTTAGCTCACGTTCTGCTTGTTCCTACTCGTCAGTGACCCAACAGTCCCTCGGTGTCTCCACTTTCCTCCCCTCTGAGGAGTTTCCTCCCCCGCTCAGACTCACTGTGGTGTATTTGCCCAGCTGGCAGAGGGAGGGGAAGGTCTCTCTGTGAGCTCTGCAGATCTTCTCCACGACCAGCCCCAGCTCTGCCGTCAGCTCGTACGTCTCCATGATGGTCATCTTCACCGCTTCCTTCTTCCCCCTTCGCCTGTTCCTGTCGTTCCTCACGGCTGCAGAAAGAAGGAACAAAATGCTAAGAACAGAGCTAAAGTGTAGCTGATGTGGCTGAAGGATCACACTCATGATTCACTTTAACTAAATAAATAACATTAAATAAATCTTCAGTGACATCATGCTACAGTTTGCATGATCTGTTAGCGCTCAGAGCGCATGTTGTTTCAGCTACTACCACACCAAATTTTAGCTCTGTATCTGTATAAACATGTTTAGGCTAAGGTTAGTTAGCTGTGGCAGCCATTTTGAATTCAATTAATTCCACACGATGATCATTTGTAGATGTACATTCAATGCTAGGGAATTAAAAACATATATTTCTGTGAAAATATGATGTGAACACTGAGCGCCGAATGACTGCTGATGTTTGCTGCAAAAGCTGGAATTAAGTTGTTAAAGCTAAAGAAAGCAGAACTCTAGCTAAAAGTTAAAAATAGCTGAAGGCTAACTCAAAGCCAGCAATAGTAGAACTGTGGCTAACAGCTAAAGGCAGAAGAAAACAAGAAGAGAGCAGTGTTTGGAAGAACTGAAGAGAAGAAATGATCTATAAATAAAGTTAATTGTTTAATGAAGTGGTTTTGTGTTTAATAACAAAACTCTTATCTAAAATCTCCTAAATGGGCTGAACGTTTGATAAAAAATAGCACAAAGTGTGCAGAAGTAGTTGACTCAGCGTCAAACTGTCCTGTTTCCATAAAAAAAGCTGCAGGATTTTGTTTGTTTGTTTTTCAGGTCCGTGTCTGTTTGAACTTTGCCCCAGCAGAGCGTAGTTTTCCAGAACGGCGGTGTTTTTCTCGGCTACGGGCCCACAAAGTGCAGGTTTAAAGGCTGGCAGAGATCTGTGTGGGTCATCGTTTAGCTCAGGAAGCACGTGAAGCAGGTAAATATCCAGGTTAGCCTTTCATAACCGCTCCTAATGGTGTCAACACATTTCTGGCGTGTCCCATTGACTCGCCTCGGGCAGCACATGGCCACGGAGCGCAGGGTTACGCAACCACTCGGTCTCTGTTTCCTCCATCCAGCACCGGTCTCCTCCTCCTCCTCCTCCTCCTCCACCTCCTCCTCCCTCTGGATGGCCCACATCCAGTCGTGGTTGTGTAAACACTCCAGGAGCGGTCGCGTTACACACGACCCAAGCATCCAGGGCAGCAGTTACGTAGCGTACATCTGTCTGATACATGTGTGTGTTTATGTAACGCGTACAACCGAATGTGAGGAAGCAACAATGAGGAAACGTAGCTGATCCTCCGGCGCCGCACCGTCACCGATCCCCGCTGGCGCCGAATTAGACGTTCGGCTTATCTGGGTCACGGCTGACGGTTTCTGCTGGTCAGCGTGGCGCTAGAGCACTGCACAATGAAACCTTCCGTACGGTGTTTGGGTGTGGTAAATAACCATTTCAAAAGGTTATTTCATAAAAAGCTTCCTTTAGCTGATCTGACAGCTTGAGGTTTGAAGGAACCAAACGGTTGTATCATTGTGTGAATGTTTCTAACTCTTTCTCTCAAATGAGTTTTTCTTCTGTACGTTTTATCACGTAACTCGTTTCACAATTTTTGTTCCATTTCAACAATTCATGCGTCAAAACGTTCAGCTGCTTCAGGACGTTCCTGCTCTGGTGTTTGTGTATCATATACTTTTTTTAATATTTGGCTTTTTCTGCCATGTTTTCCTCATCGAAAACGAACGGCGCTCTCTTTAAACGAGCGGTTCAGCTTCTATTTTTCTGTTAATTTCACCTTTTTTTCTAGTTTCGCAGCTACTTTTCTCTAATTTAAGCAATGTTTCTGCTTCTTTTAGCTCATTTCAGTTTCTTTCAGCTATTTTATTGCTCCATTTAGATTTTTTTCAGCTAATTTCAATCTCATTTGAGTTATTTTTTGCTAATTTCAGATTTTATTGTAATCTTTTCAGCTTCACTCTACATATTTTAGCTTATTCTGTTAATTTCTGCTCTTTTTAGTATTTTCTGCACATTTGTCATTTTGACACATGATGCCTCGTCAGTAAAATATCATCCAGCAGTAAGAGTCCACGCTGGACTGTCACAGGAAATGACGTTTCTCTAGTTTGGAAAGATTTCTTGACACAATACATCTCGCCTGCTGCCCCTCGTGTTAAACTTAATCCAAAATCTTGCCTGATTTGTTTGTGCCTGGGGCGTGTGACGAGCGTGACTCTCAGCTGCGTTGCTATGGCGGCCATCTTGAATTAGGGTTAAAAACCAAATGAGTCGAAGACGCACAGCCAATGATCATTTTCTGAGAGTTTCACCCAACATGTAGTTTTTGACATGTTTCACCTACATTTGGATGTTACACAGTCTGTTCGTGCTCACAGTACATGTCGGGGATGATTCTCAGCTACTTCCACGTCTAATTTTACCCTATATTTGTAAAAACGACTGAGTTTTAGCAGTTTTTGTTTTGGTAAACTGTGACAGTCAACTTGAATCATGTTGACTCCTTACGCTGATCAGCTGTAGATGTACATTAGTTATATTACCAAGAGTGTTTCTTTCAAATCCGTCCTCTGGTTTATGAGATATTATGCTAACAGCCAGACAAATATTATGCTAACAGATAGACAAATGACCACATGGACACTGGGCAGTTATGTGATCGCCCGCCTTTAATGGCAGCGGGTGATAAAAGCCTGTAGGACTTTATGTCGGGCTGCGTCCGATAAGCTGAACTAGAAGAGGACAGGAGACGGTGTGCTGCCTGCAAGACGAAGCCCGGGGCAGAGTCGTCTCATCCTGATATGTAGGCCACTCACCCAAGGTTTCACCGACTTGGAGCGTCTCAGTCAGAGGAGAGCGTTCAGCTTTTTGCTCAGTGGACTGTACAGATTATATAAGACTGAGTGGTGGGGGGTCGATGGGATTAAATCCTTCGGATGGATGAACTCAAAGAGATGAATGAGTTGAAAGAAGTTAATGAAAAGGAAGACGACGTCCTTTGAATCAGATGTTTGTTGCTCTTTGTGATGGATGTTCATTCAGTGTGTCCTCCAGAGCGGTCTCTCCCGTTTCCTGTTTCTTTTTTATATCTTCTCCAAAAATCTGTAACAATTATAGGAGCTAAAGAAGTCGAGTCAGATTATTTATGTAGCACATTTAAAACAGAAACTGTTACCAAAGTGCTTAAAGAAGACACTTTGAAGACTTGAAGATCTGCTGTGAGACTACGGAGTGACAAGAACTGACAATAATCTTTTACTAAAACGTTCAACTAAAAGTGTTTTAGGCAGCAGTATAAAAAATATTTTAATTACTGTAGAAACTATTAATAATCTTAAGATTCCACTGGTATAAAAGTTATCACGAAAAGAAGCCATGAAATTGAAAAATGTCTGGAGAGTTCATGGATTATGATCAACTATGAGCAAACACAAAATATATCATTATTATATTTTTGTGTTTGTTTATTGTTGGCTGAGTGAAAAGACAGGAAGTTGGTAAAAGCCAGAAGCCCCGAACGATCAAACGTGAGCGTTTCCTCCTCGTCATGATTGGTCGACCCAGATTTTACAGCACCACCTCCACATTAGGATTAATTATGCATGTCTGTGAGCATTTATGTAACATTGACTAACAAGATTTTGGACCAATCGTGTTGCTCAAAACGTCTCCAGTTTAAACTGCTGAGGCGGCCTAGATGTAATCTAAGCTATTTTAAAATATTTGTTTTTGTTTCTCTTGATATGGGATTATCTGGTAGTAGAGCATCATGAATGGATGTTAGATGGTTCACAGCAGAGCTGTTCAATAAACTGCTCAGGGGACCAACATCCAACAAATAAACCAAGTATTACAAGGATCTGTTACCTTTTAAATTTGTTTATTTGCTGCAAAGAAACTTAAATGCAATAAACAGAACCCAGAAGTCTAATTCAAAGAAATGTTATTTCAATTTATTTCCTGCTCATAAAAGTATTAATATTCTAATATTAAACTAATTTTTTTTTTAAACGATACACTATGCCTCCTATTAAACATAAATATTATCCTGCCGTCTCTGACTTGACAAATCTTTGCACAGACCGGTTCTTTCTCATAAAACACAGGTGAAGCGTCCACGTCCTCAGGTGTGAGCTTTTTTTTTCCTCCCTGTCTCTCATCGAGGTGGCTGCTTCTGTCATTCCTCCCCCATTTTTCCTTCCTCCTGCTCTGCTCTCTGTCTGTCTGAAGCGCCTGGTTCACATCTCCCGAACATAAATTAAGATTATGGATCTGGTATCGTGGCCGTTCAACTCTATTGATAAGATTTTTTTCATCAAATCGACAAGGTCCTGGAGAACCGGCGTGTCCAGCTGAGACTCACGCTGTGGGGTACGTCATGGACTTGTGGGGAGTGTGGCAGATGATGTGCCTCTCGGTCTGAATCTGGGTCGGGCTCCAGGTTGACAGCTCTAAAATATGCAGCGCGTTAACATCATGTCCGGAAGATGTCTGTAAATTTAAGCTAAATCTCAGGCTTTGGTTATCCCGTGCAAATGTGCCACATAAAAAGCAGACGTTGGGGAGTAATTTATTTGTTACATGTGGTCCCTAGGTAAAATTAATCCTGTGTGAATAAGACTTTAGACTGAAATATTTGCCATTACAAATTTTCTAAAGGTCTCTCTCACAGGATTTTTCTGATTGTTATTTTATTTATTATTGATATATTTATTAGCGGGCCAGAAGTGACAAGCCCTGGTGCACAGTATGAATGGATGAATGGTTGGTTGGTTGTGTGGATGGATGGATGGATGGATGGATGGATGGATGGATGGTTGGTTGTATGTATGGATGAATGAATGGTTGTATGGATGGATGGATGGTTGTATGGATGGATGGATGAATGAATGTTTGTATGGTTG